ACAAAAAAATAAAATAAACCTTAAAAAAAAAGGCAGGGGGGAAGAAGTCAAAGAACTTAAAATTGAGTCAATTTCAATTCAAGACTGTAAGGTGGATGCATATATAATGAGCACCCATTAAGTTCATGTGAAATGGCTCTAATTTGAAAAAAAAAAAGAGTGGGAGCAGTATGGTGAACAAAGCTGGCAACGCTCTTCTGGCCATTTTTCTGCTTACACTTGGAGTAGCTTTGTCAAATCACTCAATATCCTCACACGTGGATAGCAGCCTCGGGCACTCGAGGATGCAAAGGGGCAAATCATACAGCCCGAAACAACATCAGCTGGCATGACCTTGCCCTTTGACCAGTCTGCTTTGTCGTCAAGCTCCTGGGCCTGCTGCGGCATCCGCACCGTGAGCGTTTCCGGGAGAGCTCTGGCCTGTCCACAGCTCAGCCTCAGCGCTGTGTGATGCGCTGAGAGGCCGGGCTGGCTGTGGCTCCGCTGGTCCCTCAGTGAGGGAGTGAGCGAGGACAGTGGGGTCCTTGCCAGCGGCTGCACCTGGCACCTCTGCCGCCATGGGTTCCATCTACAATGCGGGCTCCTTCCCTCTTCATACAGGCTGCCCCTTGCAAACGGCTGGCTTCTGCAGGCCGTTGTCCCCACTAACTTTTTGTTTGTTCACCTAAGCTTCACTAGCTCGGGGCGGTTCTTCCAGCAGCAAGGCACAGACATGACACCTGCTGGAAACCTCTCAAAGTGCCGGTTGTTTGGCTCAGCAGCTAACATGCCCACGTCCTGTCCAGAGAGGAGTGCTCAGGTTCCACCTTCACTCCTGACTCCAGCTTCCTGCCCGCGTGCACCCAAGGAGGCAGCAGGTGTGATCCGGAAGGCAAGCCCCTACCACCTACATAAGAGACCTGGAGAGCGTTCCAGGCTCCTGGCTTCAGCTTAGCTCAGCCCTGACTGCTGCTAACATCTGGGGAGTGGATGAGAAGATGGAAGATATGTGTGTGTGTGTTTCAATAAAAATTCAAAGCAATACAATTACAAACAAAAAACAGTTCTGAAAACCTACCATTTAAAACAAATCCCTTTGCTAGAATGCTAGGGAAAGACACTGAGAAGAGTTAGGTGCTGGGGTCAGCTGCTAGCCGCTGTGCGGTCCCATTGTCCGGCACTAGAAAGGTTGAGTGCAGGCCGCCTGAGAAAGCCAGTCGGAGCCAACGGAGATCCACAGCTCGTGCGGCGACTCCCTGGCGCCCTCTACTGCTGCATTGTAGCACATGGCGTGTCACTGCCTTAAACTAGGGCCAGGCTTCATGACCTGCCTTCATTTCTAGATTCAACCACCCACGGACGGAAAACATGCAGCAGAAAAATTGCATCTGTCCTGAAGATGTACAGAGCTTTTCCTAGCATTGCTATTCTCTAAACAATACAACATAGAGGGCCTGTGCAATAACTCAGTGGCTAAATCCTGCACATACGGGCACTGGTTCATGTCCTGGCTGCTCCACTCCCATCCAGCTCCCTGCTTGTGGCCTGGGAAAGCAGCAGAGGACTGATCAAGGCCTTGGGACCCTGCACTCCGTGGGAGACCAGGAAGAGGTTCCTGGCTCCTGGCTTAGGATCAGCTTAGCTGCAGCCGTTGCAGCCAACTGGGGAGTGAACCAGCAGATGCAGGATCCTTCTGTCTCTCCTCTCTGTAAATCTGCCTTTCCAATAAAAATAAATAAATCTTAGGGAAAAAAATACAGCATAGCATTTTTACGCAGCATTTACATTAGGGATTATAAGTAATCTAGAGATGATATTTTTAAAAGATTTACTTATTTCCAAGGTGGAATTACAGAGAGAGAAGTCTTCATACATTAATTCACTCCCCAAATGGTCGCAATGCCCGGGTTTGGCCAGGGGCCATTCATCTAGGCCTCCCAGGGGAATTCAGGGACTCAAGCAGTTGGGTCAGCTTCTGCTGCCTTCCCAGGCACAGTAACAGGGAGCAGGATGGGAAGAGGAGCTGCTGGGACTCAGGAGGATGCCAAATGAGATGCCAGGCAGCAGGAGGCAGCTTTACCTGCTGTGTCACAATGCCAGCCCCTAGAGGTGATTTAAAATACAGGCACAGGGCCCGGCGCGGTGGCGCAAGTGGTTAAGGTCCTCACCTTGCACACCTGGGATCCCATATGGACGCCGGTTCTAATCCCAGCAGCCCCGCTTCCCTTCCAGCTCCCTGCCTGTGGCCCGGGAAAGCAGTGAAGGACGGCCCAAAGCTTTGGGACCCTGCACCCGCGTGGGAGACCCGGAAGAGGCTCCTGGCTTCGGATCGGCATAGCATCGGCCCGTTGCGCTCACTTGGGGAGTAAATCATCGGACGGAAGATCTTCCTCTCTGTCTCTCCTCTCTGTATATCCGCCTTTCCAATAAGAAAATAATAAAAATAAATCTTTAAAAAAAATGAAATAAAATACTACAGGCACAAAGGCAGATGAGTGTATGCAAACATGGTCTGTGCACCGTGGATCTGTGGACAGGAGGCCCTGGAACCAACCCTCGCAGACCCCGAGGGACACCCCCACTGCAAAGGCCAGGGTCATTTTCACAGAGCAGGGGATAAGGGCAGGGTGGGAGCCGAGAGGCTGTAGATTGGCCACGGGCATAAAGATCTTCTAGAAGGATCACAAGAGATCTTTCATCCCCCAGTTCACTCCTCAAATGGCCACAACGGCTGAGCTGATCCGAAGCCAGCAGCTTCCTCCAGGTCTCCCACTTGGGCGCAGAGTCCCAAGGCTTTGGGCCATCCTCTATTGCTTTCCCAGGCCATAAACAGGAAGCTGGATGGGAAGTAGAGAAGCCGGGACACGAACCAGCATCCATATGGGATCCTGGTGGCTTGGAGTTGGAGGTTAGCTGGGAGAGCCGTTGCGCCGGCCCCTGTGTCTGTGCTCTGATGCAGTCGCTGGGACGTGCATGGCTGACTCACCTGGCAGAGGCACAGGTGGCAGGCAAAGGGTTAGGAGTGTGTCTGCTCTGTTCGTACTCTGGGCAGCGCTGGCTGGGGTAGCTCTGCAGACGTGCGGCAGAATGGCAAGAAGCAAGCTTACCCTCCACAGGGAAAGAATCGCAGTCAGAGCTTGGCACTGAGCCCTGTGCCCGGTGAGGGGCACAGTGCTCCTGGCAAGCCGCCATGGCAGGCACAGCCCCAGGCAGGGACTGGGGGATACACGCACTCTTTCACTCACTGCCCTCCCCTGCCCGTGTCCTGCCTTCTGCACCCTGGGACGGCCTGGCCCTTCCTGGGGTTGCCCCCAAAGGCCTCATGTCCAGTTCTCCTAGTTCCTAGAGGCCCCATCACTGCGGGGATGTTAACTGGGTCTTAACTCTTGTCTGGGTGCACAGGTGCACCGCGGCTTGCTGGGCCCGTTCGCCCCGCCATGGCAGCAGTTTCATCCAAGTGCTCTGTGTGCCTCCCAGCTGCTGCCTGCAGGTGTGCCAGTCGTACAAATTCCTGTCTTAACTGATCGCCTGACAGCACTTAGACCTGGTCTCCGCTGCTGATTGGTTGAGGACGAACCCACTGCAGGCGTGTGGGGCTAGAGCCGGGCGCCATGGGTGCTGCATGGGGAGACACATCCTGGCCAAGGGGAGACCATGGAATAGAAAGCCCCCCTGCCCTCAAAGCCTTGCCTTTGTGGGAGGAGAGGCGAAGGAGAGGGAGTGGCATACACTCTACACCCCGAGGGCCCACGGAGCCCTTCTCTAAGGCCTCAGGTACGGGCTGTAGAATGAGCTGGCCTCCGGGAATGTCCACCCTTACGTGATCCTCAGAGTTACCGGGAAGGAAGCAGAGTGGGGGCGTGATGTGCGCCTTTGCCTTCGGGCCTGCTGGTGTGCACAGAGGCCTGGGAGCGTGGCCGGCTGCTGCCCACAGACGGCCCCCGTGTAGGCCAGGGAGCCGGAGTCTCACCATCCAGCCGGCCTGCCCAAGAATCACAGGTGCCCTGCTCTGACAAGCGCCCCAGCCCGCCGGGGAGAGGCTGCTACGAGGCCCTGTGCACTCAGCACTGTGCGTGGGTAACGCTGCCCGCTGGCCAGCTAGTCCTGGGTGCGTGTCAAGCCTGGAGACTCCTCCAGGAACTCCTGAGAGGAGAGGTGATGAAACACACACCCGATGCCAACCGGCTGACTAGACAGGGTGGTCCTCCCTGGGCGCCACCCAGGCGGGGCCAGCCGGTCAGAGTCCCTTCTGTGAGAGGAGCCAGATGACCTGCCGGGCCATCAGCTGGGTGCTTCCCTGGAACAGCAGCCTCAACTCAGTCCTCCCCATCGCTTACCCCTTGGGGGTAACAGGCAATGCAGCATCTCAAGGTCAGCCCCACTGCGTTCCAGCTTGGAGAGGGTGAATGAATGAACTGGGTGCATTCATTCTTACAGGTGTAGTCCGGGGAGAGGAGGCGGACTAAAGCACCAGCAGGGCGCCGTGCTCTGGTCCTCAGCCATGCCGGTGACCCTACAGGCACCCGGGGCCTCTTTGAAGGCCACACGGACCTCCAGGCAGAAGTCAGGCAAACGAAAAGGCAAACGGGACCGGGCCGACCCTTTTCAGAATGCCCACCTGCCCCAGGGCGCACCACGGCAGTTGCAGTCCTGAGGCCTGGCTGCTTTTCGGTGCAGAAAAGAAAAAAACCAGGGAGGCAAGGGAGAGGCGGGGCCTGGCCGCGGGGCGGGGCGAGGCAGGAGCTGCGAGTCCGAGCCGGGACCGACAGAGTTAAGTGGGGCCGGCCGGAAACCAAGGGGTGGAGCGGGCCGGCCCGGAGCGAGGCCGGCGGGGCACGCCCGCGGGAGGGCGGGGCCCGGGGGCGGGGCCGCGCCCAGCGGGCCCTTGGATTGGTCGCGGGGAAGGCGTTCGGCTCGGACCGTACCAACAGGAGGCGGGGCGGGTGTGGGCCGGCCGGCCGGGCGCGGGGAATGGCCGGGCCGGGGGTGGGCGGGCGCCGCAGTGGCGGCGGCGGCGGCCGGGGGCGGTGAGTGCGGCGTGGGCGGCCGGGGCCGCGCCGCTCCGCTCCGCACCGCGCGGGCGGCCATGGAGCGAGCCTAGGGGCCCGACAGGTGAGCGGCTGCCGCGGGCGGGAACGTGCCGGGCGCTCCCCGGGCTGCGTCGGCCGGCCGGCCCCGGGGCCTGCGACGGAAGCGACGCGGGCCTTGGCCGAGGCCGCCGGGGATGCAGCCGGGCCTGGGTGCCGACCCCCTGCGCCCCGCGCTCCCGGGGTCCCCGCCGCGGTGGCCGGCTCGTGGCCGCCCGGCGCCGCTGACCCGCAGGCCCGGGGCGTCGGGTGTGGGGGACCACGGTGACCACGGTGACCACGGCCCGGCTCCCGGCGCTGGCTTAGTAGGGCACAACTTGAGGAAACGCTACGGTCGTCCCAGGCGGGCTGCGCTGGACATTTCATTTCCGGGTGTGATGGCCGGGGCGGTTGGAGCGAGGCGCAAGCGTTGCCATTCGTGATTCATGCTAGCAGCTGTCAAGCTGCGTCCGTGAGCCTTGGGGTGCGAGGAGAGATTCCTTCCTCCGGGCCCCCCAGTGGCCCGCCAGGCGCCGGATGAGGCAGAGCAGCGGGTGACAGGATGTTGGAAAGTGGAAGGGGCCGCTGCGTGGTCGGTCACTGCGGATGTAGTCCTTGGAACGGCCGGATCACCGTTGGGGTGGTGGGCAGAGCTGGATGCTGCGACTTGGGTGGTAATGTCACACCCCTCTTCTGGGCCCCTGCCCCCAACACACAGCCAGGAGGTGGTTTCTCACCTCGGGGAGTTGCAGTTGTAGGTAGGCCCTTTTAACTTTGACTTGATAAGTCTGTATTCGGGTAGATTTGAGGCTGCCGAGTATTATTCACCGTGGCCCATCAGCCTGGTGGTGAAAACCCTTGCCGAAACACGGCCGTGGCGATTATTCAAAGTTGGGCTGGAGGTCCCACTGCGCACGTGCGTTGGGAACAGGCCTTGAGTTTAACGAAGACCTAAGCTCAGCGCTTCTGTGTATTATTTAACAATAGGACATATTTTTTTAAAATCACGTATTCATTTGCAAGAGAGATGGCAAGAGGTAGCTGGCCTCAGGTGGCGGCAGCCAGGACTGGGCCAGGTGGAGATTGGGAGCTGAGAACCCTGGGTCTCCCGCGTGGGTGGCAGGGGGTCCCAGCACGTGAGCCATTTCACCTGCTGCCCTGCAAGGTGGGCGTCAGCTGGAAGCTGCGAAAGCTGACCTGCACCCCAGGAATTCTGAACGGGGTTGCCGCTGCCCCTTCGAGAGGCCCAGGAACAGGTGTTGAAGATGGCAGCTTGCTGGCCTGCCCTCAGAGCCAGTCTAAGGTAAATAGAGGACTAATGTTTTCAGTCAGGAATTTTTCTAAGTTTCTGGAGATGTTGGGCTGTGGATACGCACAGTGGAATCAGCGGGCAGGAGGCCCCTCCACCTGCAAAGTTGCTCCTCAAAGTGTGGTTCAAGGGCATAGGCCAGCGGTTGGTTTCCAAACAGAGCAGTGGCGAACGTGGAGGACAGCAAGCGATGACCAGGACGTCTTGGCCGTTCACAGCTGCTCTCTGATGCTGCTAACACTCGGATTTGCTCCTTTCTCTCCAGTTCAGTCAGCTGCATTGTGAAAGAATGAAGACACGTGCCCCGCTTGTCTTCCTAGGAACAAGCAAATCAGTTGCTTTCTGCAATACTTTATGTGATAGAGTCGTTCCGTGTTAAATTGATTAGTCTGCCTTTCAGTTCATTCCTTTGGTTTCCATTTGTAGATATTCCAGCTCTTCCACACAGCTCTGAATTTGGAATTCTTAAGTGGCAGTTTGTTTTCTTTAGGGCAGATATAAACTTCCTTTACTTTATATGGCTGTCATTTCAGTGGTGTAAACCCCGAAGCCTTAAAGTTCTTACCTTGAGAGCTTTTTAAAATAACTAACCGCAGTCCTGGTCACTTGGTGATTGCTACACTCTTACAGCAGAAGGTGCTGTTTGCCTTTTGTGGCCATAGAGAATGAGCCAGGCTTCTGAGGCTGGGTGCCGGGGGATCCCTGGGACTGGGTGTCGGGTGGGTCCCTGGGACTGGGTGCCGGGGGGATCCCTGGGACTGGGTGCCGGGGGATCCCTGGGACTGGGTGTCGGGTGGGTCCCTGGGACTGGGTGCCGGGGGATCTCTGGGACTGGGTATTGGGTGAGTCCTTGGGCCTAGGTATTGGGTGGGTCCCTGAGACTAGGTGCCCGGTGTATCCTTGGGACTGGGTGCCGGGTGGGTCCCTGGGACTGGGTGCTGGGTGGGTCTCTGGGACTTGGGGCCAGGTGCCTGCAGTTGGGAGCTAGGTGGGTTTCTGGGTTGCAATGGGGAATACAGTTGCAGTGAGGCCCATGGGTTGTTGCAGTAGTTGGCGTTTTTCTCTGCACTGGACAGTGCCTAGTGCCTAGTAGGTGTGCAGCAAGCATTTGTTGGTGGGATGAAGGAAGGAAAACAGTATGAGGAGAGTGTAACAATATTCCAACACATATACTATAAACTGTTTAGTTCTTCTTTGTCAAAAGAAAATGAAAACTAAGAGAAGTGTATTTCCCGTTCACATTGACATAGTCTGTAAAAGGCATCATTTCTTTGCTGGAGCCCCTCAGAGGCAGTTCTAGGACCGTCAGGTGCTGGGGCTCCCGCAGAGGCAGTTCTAGGACTGTCAGGTGCTGGGGCTCCCGCAGAGGCAGTTCTAGGACTGTCAGGTGCTGGGGCTCCCGAAGATGCAGTTCTAGGACTGTCAGGTGCTGGAGCCCCTCAGAGGCTCTGGTCAGGTGTGGCTTCCTGGGCTTGCTGCTGCAGGCTGCGCTGGGTAGGTAGCTCAACAGGTGGGTCAGCAGCCAGAGTAATGGAAACACTCTTGGCCCTACCCGACCCCACTGACCTCGTCCCTCACCCTAGGCAGAGTGGGGTGTGAACCCTTAGAGTTCTCCAGCATCTGCTCCTCCTGCCCCTCCTGTGTAAGTGTCTCCTCTTTCCCTGCTTGGCTGCCTGTGGAACCCCCAGGGCCTGATGACTCCATTAGCACGGTGTGAGCTTCAGAACAGGACTGCCCGCACCTGAGGTTGGCTTATGACATGGGTGCCAGAGCTGCCTGGGAGAGAATATGATGCAGACATCTCACTTCTCACAGCAGGGCCTGTGTCCGGCCTGACTCTCCTGGAGTTGCCTCTGCCATCCTGGCATGCGATGGCTGTGGGTGGCGGGGGATGGAGGAGAGAGGCAGTGGGCTCCTCTGTGTGTCTGAGGTCTGTACTTTCTGGCCGAGTGACACCCCTGTGAGAGGAGAGGGTGCTAACCCAGGTACGTTGTAGGAGGTCAAGGAATGTGAGATAATGAAACGTGTGCGGAGGAAGCACCAAGTTCAGGGTGAGTGTGGACTGCTTTGTCACTGTGGCAGAGCCTCACGCGTCTCGTGTTGATGGCAAATGAACATTCCCATCTTATACCTTTTTGTGTGGAAACATTTCTTTAATGAGTTATATATGTATTGTGTTTCCTCTTCAACAATGAAAAGTTCCGATCCCTGTCATCCCTTACTGACAACAGTTGAGTAGTTTTGAGTGAGTTTGCCCCTGTGTCATTTGCATTATTGCACCTGCTTGCGATGTGCAGTCGGGCCTTCCAGCGGCGGAACGCTGCATCTTTGGGCTGCTCTTATTACTGCCCTTTTGTCCGTCTTGACCAGCTTTGGATTTGTGGAGGAGGAGCCGCGTCACTCTCTTCTAGTTAGCTGAGAATGTAATCCAGCTAACCAGGTAGTTAGGTCCTGCCAGCTCTTCCCCCACTAGTTCATGAACTCCATAACCACTGTTGTGTTTCTCCAAAGAATCTTTTTGGTTTTTGTTTCTTGTTGTAGGTAGTGCATGTAAAGAAAGTGAAAGTGCATTTGTGTTCCTGTAGTTCTTGTGGTTGGTAAAGAAGATAAGACAGAGGTGCTAATGCTGGCTCTTGTGGAGAACAGAACCTTGAAGATCTGGTTCCAGCCCTGTCTTGTCTCACGCTGGGGCAGTGGCTGAGACCATTGCCATCCTGACTCCCAGTTTCAGTCGAAGTCACACGCCAGTTTAGCCATGGCAGTGGCCTTGAGGTGGAAGGACACAGGAGACCACAGTTTGACACTGGGTGTGTCAAATCGTCGTATCTATTTGATTCTTCTGCAGTTTGAACTGTGTGATAAATACTTGAACTTCGTACAGACCTTTTTCCCCCAGGTCTGTAAAAGAAACCATCTTTGAATCAGAGTGGCCAGTTAAAGAATGGTTAAAGATGTTTCTTCTTTGTTCCTTTTGCTCCACATGCATCAGCACTGCATCATGTTAGTTGGACCGGAGAGGAACGCACGTCCCTGTGCTGAGAATCCCAGGATAGAAGAGGCAGCTGTGTCCCGTGCTTAGAGGCACCGAGCCGGGGCTTCAGCACAGGCGTGCTTGAGGTTCTGCTATTTTTTTTTTTAACTTACTTTTCTTCTTCTTTTTTCTTATTTGGAAGAATTGCACGTTGAGAGAATCTTCCATCCAGTGGGTCTCAGATGGCTGCATGGCCAGAGCTGCTTCAGGATCTCCCACAGGGTTAGCAGGGGTCCGCAGTCCGGTGGTCCTCCACTGCTTTCTCAGGGAACTGAATGAGAAGTGGAGCAACCGGGACTTGCCCGTATGGGATGCCGTCGCTGCGGGCAGCAGCTTCACTTGCTGTACCGCAGCACCTGCCCCGAGGTTCTGCTGTTTGTAAAAGTACTTCTTGTGGCCTGTCAGCTTGACACATCCTAGGACACTGGGTTACAAACGCAAAGCGCTGTTGTGTTACCTAAAACGTATATGCTATTTTAAGAACTTTAATGAATTGGAGAGTAAATATGCAAAGTATATGGAAAGCTGGAGGAAATGTCAGTTATTTGAAATTCCGTATGTCGATGTGGTCCAGGAATTCAGGTCAGTAATAGGTCCCTAGTCAGCGGCGGCTTGCTGCTGACAGCCGCGGGATCCTTGGGACTTGGGCGTCGTCATCATGCCCACTCCGCTGAACCGCTGAAGCCGACCAGTGTGTCAGGGAACGTGGCCCGTGGTGTGTTGAGAATCTTGCTAGTGGTGTGTGCTATATTTTTTTTTTTCCCCTTCTGATTTTTCAAGGAAGAGGTTTAAAAGGTCGTTTTAAGTCAGTGTTTAAACAGGTTACATAAATTGAGATTTTTTTTTCCCCCCGAAGAAGAAATACTATTGTCTGTTTGGTTTTTGCTTTCATACCTGGGAGGAGAGGCCATCTCAAGGCTTCATTAATGCCAGTGAGGAACTGTTAGGTTTGTGTTAATGATACTGGAAGAATACATGTTTGTGAGGGGCTGGCACGGTGCCGCTGTGTCAGCGTCCCATGTGAGCTCTGCTTCCAACCCAGCTTCCTGCTGATACAGTTGGGAAAGCAGCGTGGGCAGCCCAGGAGCTCGGGCCCTTCCACCCAGACAGAGCTCCTGGCTCTGAGCTGGCCCAGCCCTGGCTGTTGCAGACATTTGGGAAGCGAACCGTTTTTCTCTGTCTCTAACTCTGCCTTTCAAATACATACATAAGTATATATATATATATTTAAAGATTTATTTATTTTGATTGGAAAGGCAGATTTACAGAGAGCAGATACAGAAAGATCTTCGGTTTGCTAGTTCACTCCCTAGGTAGCCATATCAGTTGGTGCTAAGCTGATCCAAAGCCAAGAGCCAAGGGCTTCTTCTGGTCTCCCACATGGGTGCAGGGTCCCAAGGCTTTCGGCTGTCCTCTGCTACTTTCACATGCCACAAGCAGGGAGCTGGATAGGAAGAGGAGCAGCCAGGACACAAACAAGTGTCCACATGGGATCTTGGTGCGTGCAAGGTAAGGATTTAGCCACTAGGCAATAGCACAGGGCCCAATAATAAAATAAATCTTTTTTTTTTTTTAATTATGTGAAAGTGAAAAGAGGGATTAATGCCTGAGCTGATTTGGACTTTAGAGGAATTGATTTTCTATACCTGTAACTTTAAGTTACTCTTGAGGCTTATCTTAAGGATGTGAGGACATGCCAAGCTGTTGTCTTTAAAACACAGAACTAATTTTTCAAACTGAAGACTTTTGAGAAAGAAGTACATTTCAGCCTTTTTTAAAAAAGCTCAGTGACATTGCAAGGGCTGGGCTGTGCTTTGAGAGCAGCGAAACCAGCGACGTGGCCTCAGACGCGGAACTCGGATCTCCGCGTATCCAGTCTCATGCAGAAAGCGCCGCGGTGCGGGGACGTGCGTGTGCTTGGCCCCGCTCACAGGCTGGAGAAGGCAGTGTTACGGGATGTGGGCTCCAGCAAGGCTTCAGGTCGCCTTTGTTTCTGATGCAGCAGTAATGACTAGCAAGCAGTCACGTCAGTCATTTCTGACTTTTCCAGTCACTCATCTTCCAGTCGGTGGTAGAGTCAGCTCGTTCATTTTTAATCACCCCATGTTAGCATCCCTGTTTGGTTTCGGCCTGCAGGGACTGAGGCCCAGAGAGCTAGGAGGTTCGGTCTGGGTCCGAGTCCTGCGTGTTCAGGCCCAGGCTCGCTGAGTTTCCCTGCGCAGGAGAGCTGGGGCCTAGTGTAAAGAGGAGGATTGAAAAGCTGTTCCTTAAGCAGAGAGGAAGGTGTCTGCAGGTGCTCTCTGGTGAACTTGTTGGGTGTTGGCTTTTGTTTTCAGCTGAGGATCCCCACTTGAGGGTGTACAGGGAGATTCGTGTGCTGTTGCGCAGGCTGCGGGCGGCAGGGCGGGAGCGGGCAGGTTTCCTGGCAGTCTGCAGCGTTTGTTCAGATAATAACCCTTGCGGCTGTGTGGTAGTGGAGGCTGTGCCTTCCTGGCTGGAAGCGTACAATGCCAAGTGCAAAGGTTTCTGAATGCTCGTCATTTACAAACCGTCAGGAGAGACCACACTGACTGCTGGGGCCAGGCAGTGCCAGTGGAGCGCCTCCCTGACGCTGCTGCTCCCTGCGGTTTGGAAAGGGCTGTGTGTCACCCTCAGCGCCGGGTGGATGTGTGTGTGTGTCACAGCATCGGACTTGTCTCCGTTGTCTGCACTGTGACTGAAGACTGTGGCAGGGCTCTGTCAGTGCTGCAGCCGGGCGAGGTTAGCCTGAAGGCCCTGAGCCTGAAGTGGAATGACTTTCTAAACTACATAAATCGATTCAACATTCATCTACGCCTACTGGCAAATTAAATGTGACCACTCCCCGAGGGGACTGTTTTTGGTCACGTAGCTCATGTCCCCATGTCTTCAGCCCTGACCACTGTGGCATTGTAGTAGGGACAGGATAGATGGGCTTTACAAGATGGGCTTTACCCCCAGATACACTATCTTAAGACAATGGTTTCTTGATTTAAAAATATATTGATTGATTGATTTTTGAAGGCAGGGCAATGGAGAGGAATACACAGAGAGCTTCCACCTGCTGGTTCATCCCTCAGATGGCGATAACAGCAGAGCCTGGACCAGGCTGAAGTCAGGTGCCAGAAACTCCAGGCAGGTCTCACCTGGGCCGTCAGGAGCCCTCGGGCTTAGGCCATCTTCTGTTACCTTTCCCAGGTCATTAGCAGAGAGCTGAATCCGAAGTGGAGCAGCCAGGACACAAAGCAGCACCCAAATGGGATGCCGGAATTGAAGGCGTTGGTTTTAGCCACTTAGCAACAACACTGGCTGCTAAACCTATCTTTTAATTCCATTTTTCAATGAGTTTTTGAGACGTGGAGACTGACAGAGAGGTCTCTTCCACTGGGTCATTGCCCACATAGTCACAGTGCCCGGAACTGAAACACAGTGTGTCTCCTATGTCAGGGACGAGAACAAACTACATGAGCCACCGGTGCTGCTTCTCAGGGTCTGTGTTAGCAGCAAACCGGGGCCTGGGGCTGGGAATCTGATGCCAGCATTCTGGCATGGCATGTGGACATCTTGAATGCTAGACCGAATGCCTGGTCCTTCATAAAATCTTTGTGATGTACTCTTGTTTGCTAGGTATTTAATAAATTCCACCCCCTTGCGGCAGAGCTGCCGCTGCCAGCCCTCTGCGTGGAGTGTTTGCACTGAAGCTTCGCCTTGGACTTCACATTCATAAGGCATTTCACTCGCTGGCGTGTCAAGAACCTGTTTCAACTATTAGAAGAAAAGACCCAAAACAGATTTGCCTTGAAGCTTGAAGTTGCTATGAGCCAAGGTTGAGATTTCTTTTCTGAAACCTCAGAATTATCTGGATGAGGTAAGGCGTCACCTTCATCAGGGCGCTCTGCTCCTGGGACTTGGAACCTCGCTGGTGGCTTGCCAGACCTCCCAGGAAGTGAGACAGTGAGTGTCGGGGCCAGGTGTTTGCAAGTTCCTTGGCAGTTGCATACATCGGACTTTATGATGTGACTCACGGACCTCTGCCCTGGCGTGCTCCCCTGCCGGCTCTTCAGCGAGGACTTTGCGCTAGGACCTCAACCGTTTGTGTGCAGTCTCTCTCTTCTCTTTCTTCTGTCCTTATAAAGTGTTTATCAAGCAGATACGCTGGCCGCAAGCGTCTATGCAGAACAGTACACGGGCCTCTGTCGCAAGCACTACCTAAGCTGAGGGAGCTGGGTCGGGGAATTTGTGCCACTTGTTCGTGCGAAAGCTGTTAACAGATGTGCCCCTTGCAGTGCCTTTTGTATATGTTACTTTCCCTTGAGTTATGGTACTGCTTTGGATCCATTTGTTCTTTGAGATGGGCTATTGCACATAGCAGAAGCATGAACATAAACGACCATGAGCTAACTGGGCAGCGTTGCGTGTTTGAAGCGCTTATAGGAGGAGATGAAATAGAGCAGGCATGTTCCTCCAGGATTGCTAGTCAGGTTTCCGTGAACAGTTTAGAATATGTGCAGTGAGCTCATATCCATTTTGCTGGTGTTTGTTTTCAGCATGTGTAGTGTGCTGCTTTGTCCCCAGTACGAGGGGCCGGTGGAAGAACACCGAGCGCTGTGTCCCCGCTCTCCTGCAGGGGAAGGAGCAGAGGGCCTCGTGCTGCCCGGGTCTGAAGGGGAATTAGGAGCTGTGTACAGGAAGGCTTTTTCCTGCGAGGCAGAGTGTAGTTAAGTACTGGTCAAAGAGGAGTTACTGTTGAGAGTCCAGAGAGACCAGAATGGCCTTGAAGGTGGCCTTGAAAGGAAGACCAGGCTTTCAGTAGATCAGAAGAAAGTGTAAGGGAAAGAGGAAGTGTGAGGGAGTTGAACCTGAGCAGTGACTGGGGTGAAGGGCAGCACCCTCATGGGAAGGACCAGGGCTCGCTCCTCTGGTATGCTTTGGTTGAGACGAAGAGCAGCACCGAGCGCGCTGCCTCTGTTGAAGCCTCGTAAGGTAGTGCCGGAGTGCCGTGCTGGCGAGCGTGCAGTCACACGGGCCGAGTGAGCAGGACAGGATCCTGGCTGTGGCCTTCAGGCTGGAGAGGGAACCCCGGGGCCCGAGCAGTCAGTTCTCTGTGCGTACAGAGGCGGTTGGGAAGGGCCCATGCCAAGTGCCGGTCTGACTGCTGCCGACCAGGAAGGGCTTGCTCATCACAAGGAGGTAACCGCCTTCCTGCCCTGCTTGGGAGAGGGCAGTGGTGAGACGAGCTGGCAGTGCAGCCCCTCGGTTCCCACTTGTTATCCTCCCGGAGCTCGGTGAATTGGATGGATGAGTGGCTTCTGAGCTCTGTTCAGAAGGCAGTGAAATTTCAAAACTTAGCAACAGACACTTGGGTTGCAGAATTGGACCATTTTTTTTTTCTCATCTGAATTTCAGAGCTGCTAAAACTAATGCCATCGGTGCTGAAGAAAATCCACAGGACCAGTGTGGTGCAACAGGTTAAACTGCCACTTGCAACACTGGCATCCCATGTGAGTGCTGGTTCAAGTCCCAGCTGCTTCACTTCTGATCCAGCACTTGAGGAAGCAGGGCTAGGGGTCCTTCCTGGTCCCCGTCCTTGGGTCCCTGCACCCACCTGGGAGACACGGAAGAAGCTTCTGGCTCATGTTCTCGCCCTAGCCCAGTCCCAGCTGTGCTGCTGTTTGGGGAGTAAACCAGAGGACACAGCTCTGCCTTCATGCTAAATGGCTAGGATCTATTTATATAGCATGAGGGAGAATTATCTTTGTCGTAATGGATTTGAGCATTGTTAGAAGGGTGTGGGTTAAGCAGACTTCTGGGGCGTGCTTGGTAGGAACTGGATGAAAGCCGGAAGCCGAACTGGCCCGCGTCTCCCGGTGGCTGCGTCTGTGGGGCTGAGGAGGAGAGCGCAGCTGCATTTCCTCCTTAGCTTTGTCCCTGCAGCCCGAGATGTGCACTTTTGGACCAGCAACATTTTCTAAATCGACTTTTGTAGCAGGGCTGGTAACAGAAATCACAGGAGCTTTTTTGCTGGGTTCCACACCAAATTTAATAGCATCACAATTAGGTTTTAGATGCACTTGAATTGTCCTTGTTTTGGCTAATATTGTTCTGTCCTCCCTGGGAGGTGATGATGAAACAAAGCAGGTGGCTGGAGATAATTACAGTTTGAATTTAACTCGCACTGTTTCCTTCATGAAAATGAATGGGAGAATAAGCTGCCCTGTGGCCAGGTGTTGCCCTTGAACCTGTGGGCTCTCCAGGCTGGTTTCTGTTGTCTCCAGCTGTTAGCAACCCGCCAGTCTCAAGTTTGGGTGGGGGTCTCAGCCTGCATTGCTTGCCCTGTCTTCTGTATTGTCTTATTTGTCCCATTAATCGCTCGAGTCATTAACTGAATTGGAGACTGAAGCAACGCCCTGTTACCTTCTTGTTGTCTTCGCCTTATCCCAGTGCTGTGCATGTAGTAGAGCAAGGGTGAACATATTTTACCTGGCCCTCAACATGCCGATGTATGTTCTCAACACCCTTGCAAGAACCTTGTGTTTGGAATCGTCTGGCTTTAGGATTGCCTGGCGTGTGGTCACTCCCGCCCCGGAAGCAGTGCTGCTGTCGGGCTGTGGTCTAATGCCCTCGTGGCCGTTCTAGGGCAGTAGCGTTGCCAGGTTTCGTTGGTTTTCTGGTCATGTTCGACTCTTGGCAAGATGGTATAGGCATATGTTGTCCTTTACTTCATTGACTTGGATTTGATTATGCATATTTTTGAAAACTACTTGGTGGAAGGCTGATCTGGTAGTGTTGTAGGGTGCAGCCAGAGATAGCCAGCACCCATTGACTGTGGGCTGTGTCCTCCCTCTGTTCTGAAGGGGGTCCCTACAGCAAAAGAATGTTAATTCCGTTCTCAACCACACCTCCCCCCACCACCTAGGTATTCGCTCCTGCCCACGTGGGACTCACCTGTCATCTGAGAGGGGACAGTATTGCATTGTTGTAAGCACTCCCCTCACAAGCCTCTTTAAAAGGCCCAGGAAGCAGGGGCTCGCTCTCTGGTCAGGTGCTTCTGCTGCTCTGGCACCTCGACTCTTGGCTGACTCAAGACAGGTAATCCCCTCAGCATGGTCCCTGCGTACTGCTTAGATGGGGCAATGGATATAACAATGTCATTTCTGGTTTATGTGCTGTCACAAGTTGTAGGAGAGGTGAGGCCTAGCAGTAGTGGAATGTGGGCAGAGAAGCCAGGGAAAGGTGAATGTCTGCAGCTTTGTAAGTGTGTCCAGGTTATTCATTGCATGTCTCTTAGGATAACTTATATTGTTGGGGAAGCTGGGACATAGGTCTTCAGCTTAACAGATGGACTTCAGGGTAATGACCATTTGTTCCTTTAGGGATTATGTTTGGTTGGATTATGACTGGTTGGATTGCTGTATGGGCTTGTGATTTGCTATTTCTGGTGTGTTCTATTATCAGCAAGCTTGATTAATAAAGACTCCTTAATGAACCTTAGACGTGTCTGGTGTGTTCTGGCTCGCACCCCGTAACAGTAGAATGTGTGTCCTGGTGTTGCATCCCAGGACGTGAGCAGCTGTAGGTGTGTCTCGGATTGCGGGCATTTGGCTCCAGAGAAGGACTTCTGTCTGCTGTACTGTCTCTGGTGTTTTTAGGACTTCTGTCTTACAAGGTGTCAGAAAGCATGTTTGGAGAAGGTAATTACCACAAAGTTACAAAATACTCGTGATCTTAGGCATTCAGCAGTCCTGTGTGGGTTTGAAAGGTAGAAGGGCTTACTTACTGAGCCCTTCTTCAGACCAGTCAGTTTTGAATTATTGGGTCTTCTCAAATTTAAGATTAGCAAGGCTTAAAGGGTGAGTAAGATGTTGGAGCTTTGTGAAAGATTCAGGGGTGGGGAATGAGGAGGGAACCCAGGGGTGGTCGGATAGCATTTCTGATCAAATGTTGCTTTGTACTTGGGTTTGCAGGAATTGTGGGAGGAAATGGACCGGTGTGTGTAATCATGGACTCCCGTGGCTAGCCATCCGCACCTGCTCTCCTTGCTGGTGGGCGAGAGAGGGGGCCAGGGAGAAGGAGAAGAGGTCGCCATGAAGCTAAAGCAGCGAGTCGTGCTGTTAGCAATTCTCCTCGTCATCTTTATCTTCACCAAAGTTTTCCTGATTGACAACTTGGACACATCGGCTGCCAACCGGGAGGACCAGAGGGCCTTCCACCGAATGATGACTGGCTTGCGGGTAGAGCTGGCGCCCAAGCTGGACCACACCTTGCAGTCCCCCTGGGAGATCGCAGCCCAGTGGGTGGTTCCCCGGGAAGTGTACCCAGAAGACACACCAGAGCTTGGGGCAATTATGCATGCCATGGCCACCAAGAAAATTATCAAAGCTGATGTGGGTTATAAAGGGACGCAGCTGAAAGCCTTACTGGTACTTGAGGGAGGCCAGAAAGTTGTCTTCAAACCAAAGCGGTAAGTCTTCGCAGCGGAAGCTCTGTGTGCTGGCCGGTTGGGTCCTGTACCATGGGGTCTGCATCAAAGCTCTTTCTAGCTTGTTCTCTGCCGTAAGATGAGGGGAATCGGCTAGGGGATCTCCAGCTGGCTCTTCCCTAGCTCGTGACGTTCTGTGACTTCCAGAAAGGGAAGTCTGTAGGAACACATTTGCCTACCTCGAAAGACTCAACTTGGCAGAGCTAGCCTCGATTCCTGATTTATCAGATCTCTGCTATGTGCCATGTGGAATTGGTGTGTAAGTAGCTAGTCAGCAACCGTGGACAGTTCCCAGATAACTACACGCCAGGGTGTTACACAGTGGGTCGTGGGTGGGGGTAAAGTTACTTTTGGTATTGAAGCACCGATTCTGTCAAATGGGGTCTCGGTTTATTATTATTACCATTATTATAAACTTTTGGAACATTATTCATAGTAAAATTTTGGGGGCACTTTTAGATTTCCAGAAATCCTACCTTCCCCTGGGTTAACATCTTCTCTTGGTGCAGTGTGTTTATTGCAGATAAACCTTTGTTTATCTGATACAGATAAAATTCAGAAGCAAAATTCGCAGTTTCTGTTAGGGTTTTGGCAGATGTATGACAGTGTGTTCCCATCACTGTGATATAATGCGGAATCGTGGCTTCTGTCCCAAAGAGCCTCTGCAGTTTTTCATGCTTCCCCCTCTGCCCCTGAATCTCTGGCAAGCACTGAGCTTTTTACTCTCCATTATGTTCCTTTTTCCCAGTTGTCATACAGCCGGAGTCACAGTGTGTAGCCTTTTAACATTGGCTTCTCTCACTTGTTCTGCCCTTCGGGTCTGTGTAGCTTTTTGTGACTTGTTAACTCTCTTTTTAAATTTTCAATTACTGAGTAACAGTCCATTGTCTGGATGGGCCACAGTTTTCCATTGCATTTCCTGAGGCCCATCTTGGTTGTTTCCAAGTTTTGGCAGTTGTGGATAAAGCTGCGTTAGACATCCAGGTGCAGCTTTTTGTGTGGACCCAAGTTTTCTGCTCGTGTGGCTCCGATGAGAGCGGTGCCAAGCTGTCCAGCCAGGTGCCTGTGCTGTTACAGTCCTCTCCCCCCGCTGAGCCAGAGTTCCTGTTGCTCCACTTCCTTGGCCGGATTTGAGGGCAGTGTTCAGGGGTAGTGCTTCTAAAAGGAGTGCAGCGGGGGTGCCTTGCGGTTCCTTTCCTTGTAGTTCAAGGTCGATTTGTTTATGGGAGCCAGAGTGACAGAGATGCTTATCCAGGCCCATGGTTCAGTCCCACACAGGGCCACAGCAGCCTGCAGTGGGTCAGCTGGAAGTCAGAGGAAACTGGCTCCTGGCCTCATGGGTGCTGCATGGGTGGCAGGGGTCAAGTGCTTGGGGGATCCTTTGCTGCCTTCCTAGGGCCATTAGCAGGAAGCTGGATCGGAAGCAGGGTAGCAGGGACTTGAACTAGCACTCACTAGTATGGGCTGTTGTGGTTGCATGCAGCAAGATAACCCACTCCACCACACTGTGGCTTCCTAAGCAAAAATTTGGGCCGTCTTAGTTACCAGAATAATTAAGTGGTATAAACGTCGTTAGTGATCTCTTTGGACTTCTTCAAGGATTTACAGAGAAAATAAGTGTGGCATTTCTAGGGTATAATTAACTAAAAAATTTTCTGTGACTATTTGATTTTGAAATTGATCACCATAACTGGTTTATATTCTCTTGCCAGTAGTAATCAGTGATTATTCTCCAAGTTGGTCGTATCTAACTTTGTGTGTGTGTGTGTGTGTGTGTGTGTGTGTGTGTGTGTGTGTGGAACATGGTTTTCTTTCCTCAGTGAGATTTTTGAGTAAGGTAACACCTTTGGATTTCTGGCCAGAGAGATGAAATCCAGATAAATTCAGCTCTCTTAATTGCCCACTCGTCAGTAGAGAAAAGGCAACCGAAGAGCGAATGTGCCGAGATCCCGGCCAGGGGAGGGGTCCGTAGCACCTGGAGCTGGAAGCACCATGTGTGGAAGCTGTGCGGATTGTAAGATTAAAGACTGCAGGAGACTGGAAAGTGTGCTTTGCTGTCAGCATGAAAAGCGTGGCTACGTGGGCTTTGGAATCTGATTTCAGTGGCCTAAATGAACATCATGTATCAGGCATTAGACTAAGAACTTCTGTATCTGATAATGGTTTTAACCCTCGCGGGAAGCTCGGTTCTTGCTTCTAGATGGTGAAAAGAAAGGTTAAAGTAACTAACTTCACAAGGTCACGTGGCAATAGCCAGCAGGCCTGGGGTTTGAATCCACAGCTTTCAGTGTCAGAAGAAGCTTCTCTTCTACCTTACATGTAATTCTCTAAGTTATTTACTTCTTTCCTGTAAGTTAGCTATGAGTTATAGTCCTTGACCTTGTTTCGAGCCTGAGATATTAGTAGTATAAGCAGTGGGATGAGGCTAAGGCAAATGAAACATTACATTTGCATAGAGCGAGAGGAGCTGTGAGCATCCCATCCAGATCTTCCCAAACCTTCCGTTTGTCTGTTGGAGAGTCGGGGTGGGCTGGGACGGCAGGGTTGCTGGATGCCAGCAGAAGTGCAGTGTTGGAGCAGGTGGGCGGTGGGAGTGCACTGTGTTGGAGCAGGTGGACGGCAGGAATGTGCAGTGTTGGAGCAGGTGGACAGCAGGAGCAGGAGTGTGCAGTGTTGGAGCAGGTGGACGGCAGGAGTGCGGCAGTGTTGGAGCAGGTGGACGGCAGGAGTGCGCAGTGTTGGAGTTGGAGGGAAGCAGGAGTGCGCAGTGTTGGAGCAGGTGCCTTGCAGATGGCTTGGGTGTGTTCATGAAGCCCAGGAGAAGGAAGAAGTTGGACTGATACGGAGGAGAGGAGGTAGCGACAGATCCTGCATAAGCATCTGTCACTGCTTGCTTCCTCTCCTGTCTCCTGCTCCACTGCATCCTCTCAGATTCCTTCCTCTTCCAGGCCATTCTTTCCACAAATGTCTGTTAGCACTGTGCTCCCAGCGTGGAAGTGTGTGGGGGCCTCCCATTGTCCTCCCAGCCCCGTGCAGTCTGCACTTGTCTCTCTGCCTGGCTTGTCCCCCCTTTAGTTCCTTGTGTCACACTGGCCCCAGCCTATCTTCTCCAGAGCCCCCAAGTCCCCAAGCCCACTCTAGGTCCAGGGGACTGTCGCCCCAGCCGGGTAGATGAGGTGAGCCCCTGTGCACACCAGTGTATGCTATATTGTCCTAGGCACTGTCACACACTGGGGAAGGTGAGTGTAGGTTAAATACTCTGGAAATTGATTCCAGCCCGTAAACCCCCAGCAAGATGCTTGCTGGCCGGCAGGGCTGCAGAGGCCGTGGGGCCCTGCAGTGAGGGCAATCTCTGACGGCCTTCACCAGAAGGCGTGATTTATTGGCAGTTCCCGTAGGAGCTGTGCTGCTCTGTCAGCACCTTTGGATGAGTCGGTCTGCTGGGAGGGGACATGTGTCCTTGCTGCTCAGTTGAGGTGTGTGCCTCCCTGCGACAGCCACCCGTGGTCCCACTGTCTCCGGAGCCTGCTCGGCCACATCCTGCTCTCAGAGCTGGCAGGTGTGAACAGCTGCTGACAGTGTAGGGATACCGTGATGCTTTTAGTTACACATTTCACCTCACCTTATAAAAATTGTTTTTTCCCAGTGTTGTCTGTTCTGGAAGTAAATTGATTTTCACAGGCAAAAACTGGAGCCTGATCAGCCTCCCTGGTGTTTCAGCGGGAAGCTGGCTGGGAGCGTGAGTGCTGCTTGATTCCACATGCTTCCCTATGGGATGCAGCCACTCCAGAGGCGGCTTAACGTGCTGCACTGCAGTCTTTTTTTCTTGGTTAGTAGAAATATACCAGTTTCATCATCCTTTGTTTGTGCCACACACTGGATACAAAATTGGCAAAATGCAGTTTGAGAACAGAGACCTTAAAAACGAATCCCTAGTTAAGCTGCTCACATCAGAGTTAACCTGAGGTCCTGGGGCCAACATTGTGGTACAGTGGGTCACGGGGTCAGCTACCGTGTGAGTACTGGTTCAGGTCCTGCTGAGTTTCTTCTAATACAGCTCGTGTCCTAGCCACCCACATGGGAGAGCCAGATGAAGCTCCTGGTTTTGGACTGGTCTTGCCCTGGCCATGGTGGCCATTTGGGGAGTGACCAGTGGGTGGGAAAATCTCTCCCTCTTCCTCTCTCTGTCTCTCTCTGCCTTCCAAATAAATGTTAAAATACTACTATTATTACTACTAATAATAATAATGAGGAAGCTGCTACCTGGAGCAGAGGTGGGTTTTTTCACGCTTCCTGAGTCAGGTCAGGACAGTGTCCCCTGGCTGGCCCTGCCGTGAAGCATAAAACCAGAACGGCTGTTGTTGCTCTTGTTTTTGTTTTTAACCATCTTTTCCTTCACGTGACAAAAACCAAGCATATCAGGACTGGTTTTCCCCGAGAAATTTAAACTTCTTATAAACCCTTAGCACAGCCATCTGGCAAGCAGAAGTTTTTGTTGAGTGTTCTCCTTCATTTCTTCACTTCAGTTTAATAAACATTTTCATAGATGCTTGTTGAGTACCAGCTGTAAGCCTAACACTGCTGGTAGTACAGGGATGAACCTTGCCTTCTAGAGAATTCCCTTGTAGTTGGATTTAAAGCTGCATTGAAGGCCCTTTAGAGGGGCAACCGTGCCATCTTCCCTGCTGGATTCATGGCGTGATTGCTGAAGCGGTGGGAATTCAGGCATTTGTTTCCATCTCACCCTGACCTCTCCGTCGGCAGTGCTTGCTAAGCCACAGAGGTTCTCGGGGTTGGCAGAGAAGGTGTGTGTGGAGGCAGATGGGCTTGCTCGGGTTGTCCGTGTGCCTCTCGCGCGGCGCCCTGTGGCCGCCATGTCCTCACGGCTGTGTGTGCGTCCGGTTCATGTTGCAGGTACAGCCGGGACTATGTGGTGGAAGGGGAGCCATACGCCGGTTACGACAGACACAATGCAGAGGTGGCAGCCTTCCATTTGGACAGGTATGTGTGTATAACCAGATGTCACATTCATTTTGTCTCCTCCTTCAAAGCCTCCTGCTTTTTACCAAGGGCCATTTGCATATTTATAACATCCACAGGCCATAAAGAATGATCAAGTAAGAAAGTAGCCTCCATAGATTTATTCCATTTCAGGTTCCACCTACGGTTTCCATGGCAGAACCAGCTCATATGATTTCACAGGCCTTATACAGCCTGCAGGCTGGGCGTTCCCCACCCCTGTGCCACAGGGTACAGCAGTGAGGTGGACTGTATGGCATAGTGGGTTAAGCTGCCACCTCAAAGCTGGCATTCCATATGGACAACACTGTGAGTCCTGGCTGCTCCACTTCCAATCCAGCTCCATGCTGATTGCCTGGGAAAGGCAGTAGAGGCTGGCTCAGGCGCGTGGACCGCTGCTGCCCATGTGGGAGACCTGGGTAAAGCTCTCAGCTCCTGACTTCGGCTGCCCATCCCTGGCCTTGCAGCCGTTAGAGAGCGAAGCAGCAGATGGAAAACCTTTTCTCCTGTATCTGTTCCTTTGCCTCTCCTTTTCTATAACTCTTTATTTTTTAGAAAGATTGATTTATTTTTATTAGAAAGGCAGATATACGGAGAGGAGGAGAGACGGAGAGGAAGATCTTCCGTTCAATGGATCATTCCCCAACTGGCTGCAACAGCCGTGGCTGCGCCAGTCCGAATCCAAGGCGAGGACTTTATCCACTACACTTTCACGCCGGGCCCACATAATTCTTTCAAATAAGCAAACTCAAACCTTTAAAATAATAAAGGGTACAACAGGCATGTCATAAAACTTGTTAACAATCCCTCATAATGGGGCCCGGCGGCATGGCCTAGCGGCTAAAGTCCTCGCCTTGAACGCGCCGGGATCCCATATGGGCGCCAGGTCTAATCCCAGCAGCTCCACTTCCCATCCAGCTCCCTGCTTGTGGCCTGGGAGAACAGTTGTGGACGGCCCAGAGCCTTGGGACCTTGCACCCGTGTGGGAGACCTGGAGAAGTTCCTGGCTCCTGACTTCAGATCGGCGCAGCACCGGCCGTTGTAGTCACTTGGGGAGTGAGTCATTGGATGGAATATCTTCTATTCTGTCTCCTCTCTGTATATCTGCCTTTCCAATAAAAAATAAATAAATCTTTATTTTTAAAAAAAAAAAAAAGAGTCCCTCATAATTTGAGCAGAATACCAGAAATATCAAAGTAAATATTTTTCATCTCATTCCTTTGTGTTTATTGTGAGTGAAGACACTGTTGGTGAGTGTTACAGCAAATGGAAACCAAAGCCTGAGCTCAAACCGCAGAACCGAGCTGGTCTTTGGTTGCGTGTGGCAGTTCTGTGGTTGGGTTCCAGTTTCTGTATTACAAAGTAATTTCTGGGCAGATATGCAAATCTTTATATACACTGAAATGCTAACAGAAAGTAGATCAAAATTGAAAGCAGTTAACTGAATGGCATTTATCAGTTGTTGATAAATTGGGGGTTGGTGTGTGATGTTAACCCTTATCAGAGTTTTCAAAATTCCAGGTAGAACAGCAGAATACCATTTTCTCCTGCCAAAAACTGTAAAGCTTTTATATTAAGATAATGAAAGGACTGAATCCATTGAGATTTATGTGTTGCTTATGGCATTGTTAATTTTTTTCAGTCCTTCTGTTAACTCTGGCATCGTTATCAGAAACCTTATTGTTCAAAACCTTTGAAAAAGAACTGTTTTTTTTTTTTTTTATGTATATAACTAATTCTAGGAAGATACTTCCAGAGAGTACCCTAGGGGAATAAAAACCCAAAGTTTATGCACAGCCACTGCAGCTGTGACACTGTCAGCAGTGAAGAACTAGCAACAGGCTACCTAGAACATGGACAAGATTGAATAGATGTTTACAATGCCAGGCAGTTTTAAAATCATTTATGTTATTTGGTGGGGCAGTACTTCCCATCCTTCCCCTGGGGGCGGCTTGGCCAAAGAATTTGCGTGTCAGAACCCCGCCTGTTGCGCTGTCGTCTGCTGCCACCAGGGTCTGTCTTGGCAGGAAGCTGGAGGCAGAAGCCGAGCTGGGACTCACGGACACTTGCGAGGGAAACCCGCGTGCCGAGTGGTGTCTGACCCGCTACACCCAGTGCCCACTTCATGGTGTCGGGATTTTTGCCTGTCTCCTTTAGGACCTTGGGTAAATCCTGCTCTCGGTATCCTCCAGCACCTGGCTTCGAGGAGCTTGTTTTTGGTCACCTGTTTCTTCATCCTCAGCCCTCGTCCTGTTTTCATTTTGTCAGACACCGCCTGCGCATGAAGATTCATATTATTTCATTTTTAGCCCAATTCTTTAGACTATCCACTATTGCAATTTCTGTGAGCCTACTGTATGTGAAGTGGTACCTGGTTGGTATTTTGTATTTCCCCAATTGTGGAAAGTTGTATCTTTTCACAGCGGGACACCTAAGGCTAACTGTAAGCGAGGCATTCCTTGCGTAAAATAATCACTTGCGATGTTGGTGAAGTGTTTCAGTTTGTGGCTTGTACTGAGAAGTCCTTCCCTGCTGATGCTGCCCAGCCAGTCCTCCCGCCTTCTGTCTGTCACACACAGAGGGCCGTGATGACGCCGACCTTGGCCTAGCAGCAGGCAGCAGTGAGCTTTGCGCTTTGCACTTTGCTCTCTGTGGCCTCTCACACCTTACTGCTCAAGATCGCTTCTGCATTACAGCCAGTCTCTCTTCTCTTGCATCAGGCGGTGCCCTGTCAAATTTAATTTTATTTTGACAAATGTGTAGAGTCCTTTGCTCTGGCGGCTTTTCTGTTCAGGACAGAATTAGCAGCTGAAAGGAATGGATTACTTATCACTTGGCCTTCAGTTGTGTTAACAATTCTTATTTTTTGGAAGCAACAGAGAGAGTTCCATCTGCTAATTCTCAGTGCTTGTGCTGGCCGGGTGGACACTGGGAGCTGGGAACTCAGGATCTCCCATGTGACGGCAGGGCCTGGTTACCTGTGCCGGCACTGCTGCCTGGGACCGTCTGGACTTAAACTCGGGTACTCTGATCCATCCTTCCTTCCTTTCTTCCTTCTTTCCTTCCTTCCTTCCCTCCTTCCTTCTTTTTTCTCTCTCTCTGTCTCTCTCCCCCCCTCTCTCTTTTTTATTTTTAAATTTTTTCTTGGAAAGGCAGATTTACAGAGAGAAGGAGGAACAGAAAGATGTTCTGTTCGCTGGTTCCCCTCCCCCCAAGCAGCCACAACAGCTTGAGCTGAGCCCATCTGAAGCCAGGAGCCAGGAGCTTCTTCCAGGTCTCCCAAGAGGGTGCAGGATCCCAAGGCTTTGGGCACAATCTTCAGCTGCTTTCCCAGGCCACAAGCAGGGAGCTGGATGGGAAGTGGAGCATCCGGGGCACAAACTGGCGCCCATATGAGATCCTGGCACGTGCAAGGCAAGGATTTAGCCACTAGGCTATCATGGCAGCAAAGCTTGGTTTATGCGAAGCTTGAACCCATTTATGAGTTTAGGCCCAATTTTTCCTAATGCATTGTTAATATTTATTTTTCATTTGCATTATGAAAAATTTCTAACAGAAATGGAGAAAATAGTAAATAACCCATATATAAACTTCCTAGTGCTACCAGTTGCTTGTGTTTTCACAGATTTGCTTTATCTTTTTTGCTGATGTGCTGTGAATATCCCTAAGTGATATCCCTAAAGATTTCTCTTGTTTTCTCAACCTCCCAACCAGGATCCTGGGTTTCCGCCGAGCCCCACTGGTGGTTGGCCGCTTTGTCAACCTGCGGACAGAGATGAAGCCTGTTGCCACGGAGCAGCTGTTGAGCACCTTCCTAACTGTAGGTAAGATGACAGACAGTGTTTAGCTACCCTGTGTGGGGTGTCACTGAGCAAGCTGGCTCGTGACTGAGCAGGCCGGCAACCTGCTGCCAGGCTGCGGGGGAGGCGGATGGGAGGAGAGTGCGGTTTCCAGTACACCCTCTTCTGTGTCTGTGCAAGTCGTTAGCTGATAGCGAAAGCAGATTATCAATACATTTTCTTCTGCAAACTCAGACCTTGGCCAACCTTACAAACCTTACGAAACTCGTGACTTGGTGACTTTTTCACATATCTGTTTTCTGGAGAACTGAGTTCCTGCTTGAAGAGCCCCTCGGGCAGTTCTGTAGAAGGATCAGAAGAGCCCTGGTAGGTCCTGGGCCTGGACAAGCTCCACCGCCTCACTGCTGTGCCCGGGTTAGCCCGTAAGTCGCTGCGCCCAGAACTGGGCCTGGGCCTCTGGCTTGTTTTCCATCATCCCTTGGGAATTAGGGAATCCGGCCCAGAGCTCTCGGTCCTGTCCTTGTGGAGTGATAGGAATGAGAAGGATTTCGAGGTCGTGTGGTCTCTTGTCTCAGCTTCTTCATGGTGACCCATCTTCAGTGATCCAGGCTTCTGTGCTATGGTATGAATGTTGCAAGGTGAACTTTACCTTGCTTTCTGCTAGAGTGAATGCATTTACATTTAAAATGAGGTAGAACTGAATAATCCAAGGCCTTACGTCACATCACCATTTGGAATTTAAACTTGTCATGTTCGGGCTTGCCTCTTACAGATAGCCAGCAGTGGGCGGAGTCACCTGCAGTTGTTTCAGTTGTTGGTTGTTCAGTTTTATGCTGAGCAACTGTGAAGTTCCTGGGAGCGATGAGAGGGGACAAGAATTGCAAGCCAGGGTCCCTGCTCTTAAAATTCTCTCATAAGGCTTATTCCCACACAGTATGTGAAGTGTGGGGGAAGCACAGGCTGGGGAGGAGCTGCTTTTGCTGCCTGAAGAATTTTCTGGCTGCTGGGCCAACATGGTGGCGAGGCTCGTCTTCTGTCTGCAGCGGCAGCATCCCATATGGGCAGTAGTTTATGTTCCAGTTGCTCTGCTTCTGGCCCTGCTCCGTGCTTACAGACTGGGAAGGTAGCAGTGGATGACTTGGGTTCTTGGGCCTCTGCACCTATGTGGGAGACCCGGAAGAAGCTCCTGGCTTTGGATCGGCTCAGTTCCAGCTCTTGCTGCCATTTGGGGAGTGAACCAGTGGATTGAAGACCTCTCTCGGTCTCTCTTTTTCTCTCTGTAAAGTCTGCCTTGCAAATAAACTTTTCAGGGCACTGATTTTCTTACTGTTGAGTTTGGTTACTTTTTTGTGTGAGAGACAGAGCCACAAACTAAGAGGACACCATCCGTTGGTTCACTCCTTAAATTTCTGCAGCAACTGGGGCTGGGCCTGACCGAAGCTGCAGAACTCGCAGAGACCGCACTGTGTGAGGCGGCTGCTGCCTCCCGGGGTGCGCACGAGCAGGATGCTGGACTGGGAAGTGGAGCAGGACCAAGCAGGACTCTAATACCAGATTCAGAGTTCCCAGGCAGTTTCTTAACTATTCCTGCCTGCTCCTGATTGCTCCCATCTGAGAATTCTTTGAATATTTTAAGTGACAGTCCTTGTCAGGTGTGTCTTTTGCAAATATTTGTTCCCACTCTGACTTGTTTTCTCCTTCTCTTGGTACGATAGGATAATATAATGATACATTGCCCTTGATCTTAAAAACAAAGCACTTTCAAACTGTCACCTTCACATTTCATATGCCTGAGGAAGTAGGCCTAGAAAAGTATGAAGACTTCCAGAGTCACAAAGCTACTCGTTGTTAGCTAGATTTTATGGTGTCTCAATGTTTCATCTGCTTATGGTCTTTTATATATATTCATTTATTTAGTAAAACTTGATTTCATTGCTGAATGACATGCTCTGAATTGGGTGCCTCCTGACCTTTCTGTCCTCAAGGGATTTTGTGAGATGGGGGAGCCAGACGTGTGCACAGAGGCCATGGAGGGCGACACGGAGGGGAGGGCGTTCGTTGGTGAAAGTGATGATGCAGATATTTTTAGTGTGGTGTTTTAGTTAGGTCTTAAAATGAGGATAGCAGTCTTCTGGATGGATACAATGGGAGAGAACATTCTAGGCTTGGACTCAACGGTATTTGCACCATCTGCCACTTAGCATCTGGATAAATATGGATCCTTTCTCAAAATAATGTTTTTAAATATGTAAAATAAGAATTATTAAGTACATAAAATTAAGCTGGTAGTATTAATCTCCTAATCAAAAATTGAAAGATAAATTTGTGAGATAATAACATGTGTTTTGTTAGTTAACACATTATATTTTAGCACGGATCTGGGAACTACTCTAATAACTGCAGACTAGCAATGTAAATAGATATTTTGTGATATCTATAAGTGATTATATTAATGAAGCATAAAAAATCTGTATTCCCTGTGATGGCAAAGTTACAGCTAATGCTGACATTATAGTTTGGTCCCTGCCATTTTGATGGAAAGAAATGCTAAGATTCAGATTGGGGTTATTGAAAACAAAAATGCAGCTTTGTTTGCTTTTGGTTCCCAGACCCCACGTTAGCCTTGGTCTAGGCGGAGGACATGGACAAGGGTGTGGTGAGTGGGAGGAGAGCTCTCGTGCCCAGGAGGCGTGAGGGGCTGCCATTGGGCCCCACCTACATCTCCAGCATCCTTGTGGATACCAAGTGTGAGTCCACTTCTGATCCAGCTCCCTGCTAATGTGCCCAGAGAGCAGTGGAAGATGGCTCAACTGGGCCCCTGCATTAGAGACCTGGAAGAAGCGTCTGGCTCCTGGCTTTGGCCTAGCTCAGACCTAGCCATTGTGGTCATTTGGGAGTGACCCTTTGGGTACAATACCTCTTTTCCCCTTCTCTAGTCCCCTTGCTCCCTCTCTCTGTAACTCTGCTTTCAAATAAATATACATCTTTAAAAAATGGAAATGAGAAGGTGGCAAGTGATGAAAACAGATTGTCTTGACAGTGTCACTGAAGAATCTATGCTGCTTGCTTGAAGTCGAGACTTAAGAAGAATTTAGGAGACTACTTGTGGCAGCATTGTAAAAGATGAATGGAAGGAGAGGAGGGGGAGGTTCCCAGCACAATGGCTCAATGGCTGAATCCTCGCCTTGTAAGCGCTAGGATCCCACATGGGCGCCGGTTCTAATCCCAGCAGCTCCACTTCCCCTCCAGCTCCCTGCTTGTGGCCTGGGAAAGCATTCGAGGACAGCCCAAAGTTTTGGGACGCTGCACCCGCGTGGGAGACAGAGAAGAAGCTCCTGGTTTCAGATTGGCTCAGCTGCAGCCATTGTGGCCACTTAGAGAGTGAAGTAGTGGGTGGAAGATTTTCTCTCTCTTCTGCTGTAAATCTGATCTGCCTTCCCAGTAAAAACAAATAAATCTGTGGAAAAAAATGAGCTCTCACATGGAAAGAAAATGTTTCTTATGGTCCTTATTTTTCTTAAGACCTTTCACGTTGTTGTGTTGGGGCAGACATTCAGCGTGCAGTTAAGATGCTGCTTGCCTTCTCTGTATTAGAGTGCTGACTCGGCATCTGAGTCCAGCTCCTTGCGCTTGCCTGCCCTGGGGGGAGGCAGGGATGACTCAGTCCTGGGTTCCTGCCACCCATGTGAGAGACCTGCATTGATCTGAGAGTTCTTGGCTTTGCCTGTCCCAGCCCCTTGCCTTGTAGACATTGGAGGGGGTGAGCCAGCGGATGAGATCTCTCTCTCTTTCTCTCTCTCTCTTTCTCTCTCCTACCCCATCTGCTCCCATTTGCCTCCCCCCCCCCAAAAAAAATGTGTCTAGTTATATTCTAAAAGATCTGGTTACTTGATGGGACCAAATTAAATTTATGATTTTGTATTTTGATGATTATAAACATAATTGTGGTATCTTACAGTTAGGTCCGTTCTTTATTATTTTTTTAAAGGTTTTATTTTTATTATTTACTGGAAAGGCGAATATACAGAGAGGAGAGACAGAGAGGAAGATCTTCCATCCGATGATTCACTCCCCAAGTGAGCGCAACGGCCGATACTATGCCGATCCGAAGCTAGGAACTTCTTCCGGGTCTCCCACATGGGTGCAGGGTCCCAAAGCTTTGGGCCGTCCTCGACTGCTTTCCCAGGCCACAGGCAGGGAGCTGGAAGGGAAGCGGGGCTGCCGGGATAGAACCGGCGCCCATATGGGATCCCGGCGTGCAAGGCGAGGACCTTAACCACTTGCGCCACCATGCCGGGCCCCGTTCTTTATTTTTAAAAATTCCAACATGAAAGAGAGGTGTAATCAGCCTTGTGAGTAGTTTTGTGGTTTCGTTTCCGTTGACTCTATGTTGTGTAAGAGGTTGGAAATAGGAATACGTTTCAGTGTTGTCTTCTCAAGGGTTCACCTGCATAAGAACATAACATAGCCAGTGAAGGAGTACGTGTGCTGCTGCTGGTATCGTGGCTGACTCAGCCCACAAGACCCAGCTGGGGCCCACACCTGACGTGGAAGCTGTGGATTGCCCACGGAAGGGGGTTGGAGGATGCATGGGAGAGTACTTTACAGGTGTGGAATAACTTCCGGGGGGATTCCAGGAACTGGGACACTGCACTCACAGGTACATGAGAGGCTGGGATTGGGTGGTATGGAGGGCAAGTCTGGGTCAGATCAGTGCACCTGTCCTCAGGGAGACCTGAGCTGCGCTAGGTGGCATCGCCCTCTACCTGCCGGTGCACGCAAAAGCCAGTGCTGGAGTGCCTGCCAATGAGTATCAGGGCCAGGGGTTTCTCAAGCAGTGTTGGGCCTTAACACCAACCGTTTATGTAGGAGAGCTGGGTCTTGGGACAGATTGTATAGGGGATTTGTGGGCTCACCCCTGTGGGACTGCAATATCTCCTGATTTGTGCAAAAGCTGGGGATGGTGATTAGCTGAGCCATGTACGACCATGGAACTGATGCTCATAGAAACGGGTCAGAAGTAG